AACAATGATGTAGTAATGTGAGAGGTCCTGAGAGAAGTAACTGGTAACATTAGATTATCAGAAAATTTATTTATTTTTTTTATTTTAATTTTTTTTCTCCCCCAAAGCCCCAGTAGATAGTTGTATGTCGTAGTTGTACATCCTTCTAGTTGCTGTATGTGGGATGCGGCCTCAGCATGGCCGGAGAAGCGGTGCGTCCCTGCGCACCCGGGATCCGAACCTGGGCCGCCAGCAGCGGAGCGCGCGCACTTAACCACTAAGCCACGGGGCCGGCCCAGATCAGAAAATTTATTGACTGTATACTTCATTATGTTTAAGTGGCAATTCAGACCTTTCCAAATAATCACTTGATCCATAGCAAGCATCTTTTTGTTTTGCAATAGATATTTAAAAATTTTCAAGTCATAAAATAATTAAATTATAGCTGTTATGTAAAATTACCTAGACTCTTTGATTTTTTAAACACATTATTTTTATTCCTGTAAATGAGGGAGAGAGATAATTTGATTATCACAGCATAGTTTACAAGTAAAACTCTTAGTCCATTTTTAGAACTCTGTCAGCAGCTAGTGTTTGGTATGACTACACTGGCTGTAGCTTCAGTAAGTACTAAAGAAGCCAGGTGGTTCTTCATCTACCATTAAAATAATCATCTGAATCATTTGAGGCCCAAAAAAGGAAAGAACACTTTACAATTAGGAAATTTAAAGTTATTAGGAAGTTTTTGCATGGTTGATGTCACTAATGTTAAAAACAAAAACCAGGTCTATCAGCCATAAAAAAAGACAAAATTGTCTCATTTGCAACAACAGGGATTGGCCTGGAGGGTATTATGTTAAGTGAAATAAGCCAGAAAGAGAAAGACAAACACTGTGTGATCTCACTTATATGTGGAATATAAACGAACACATGGACAGAGAAAACTGTATTGTGGTTACCAGGGGCAGTGGGGGTAGGGGTGGGGACAAGGGGTGAAGAGAGACATATATATGGTGATGGACAAACAAAAATGTACAGCCCAAAATTTCACAGTGTTATAAACTATTAAAACATCAATAAAAAAAAAAAACAACCAGGTCTAATACCGTTAATCTAGTTTCCAGAGAAAGCAGGTACTTTTTAAGGTTTTTTTTTTTAACATCTGTTATAATAAACAAAATTTGGAGTATTAATAAAATTCAGTATCCAAGGAAACAAGACCCTTTGTTTATTATACAACACATGCTTTATAGTCCATCATATTTTTGACACTTTGGTCAGATGTTCTTTCCTTTTTAATGCTATTCATTTAATTTTTTTCTATAGCCTGCTAAAATATGATAAAATAGTCTTAATTATTTTCACTAGTGACATAGATAAAAGGACAAATACAAATAGTATGATAAATATAATTATGTTTGAATTTTTTAAATAGATTATAAAAGTCTCAAAGGAGAGACTGTCAGTCTAGTGTATTTTAGAAATCATTGAAACCCATATTTAGTACTATAGAAGTGTGCAGTTTTAGTAACAGCATTTTGCTCAGTGTGTGATTCAGGAGAGGGAAATGAGCCCAGACCTTTGCCAGAAGTGTTTAACTTCTTACTGTGAAGGAAGTGTTATGGATAACTTATAGGAATAAGGAGAAGCTTAGTTTAAGTTATCTTTGAATAGTAACTAGATAATGTCTATGTCTGGCATAAACTTGAAATAGTCTTCCTTACTATGCTTTAGCAATGTGACCTTTAATTCACAGAAACTTGTAATATATGTCAATAAAAAATGTTTTTAGATGGTTAACTAAAAAATATAGTTAATATACCATTTTTTATAGAAAAGTTATACGAAGCCAACTAAAAGTAATAGGAATGAAATTACTTGTAGTATCTTTCAATGCACCTCTACTACTGTTTTTCTATTAACATAATCTCTGCCAGTTCTTTCTTGTTCTTTTTATTAAGTGTTGTCCATCTCCAGATCTTTCTGGACTATCTTCATACCAGGATAGAATTTCTACCTGTTCAGTGAAACTTTCATTTAGTTGTGAAAAGTCTCAAATTCTCTGTATTGGAATACTACAAGTGTTATTACACAATAACTTTAAAAAGTTATAACCTTCGCCTCATCTCCACCTCCACCAATACTCCTTCTCATTCCCTGCGTCATTTTTATCCTTAGCACTTATCACCAAAAACATTTATTTACTCATTTTCTGTCTATTCCTACTAAAATGTAAATTCCATGAAAGCAAGGATTTTTGTTTGTTCATTACTATGCCTCCAGTATCTAGAACAATGTCTGGCAGTTAATAGACGCGCAATAAATATTTGTTGTATGAATGACTGTCCTGATTTTCTCCAAACTTTCTCCTCTTTCAGTCATATTGCTAAAATTCTTTCTCCATACATTTTTTATAGGTTTCTTATCACTTTAGTAACTAATTGAAGTATCTTCATTAGTTAATATACATATATTATCATCCTAACCCATCAATTAATTTGTTCCTCCTACTTAACCAAGTCATATTTATCTTGGGCTCATTTATGTATTCTTTTTCCATTTCTTTAACATTTTAATGATGAACATCTTTAGAGCTAGGTGAAGTCTGGGAAATCTGGGAATGATATAATAGAGCTTTAATAATAATAACAACAGTTTTTTTAGCCTCTGATCTCTTTTATGTCTTGTATATTTTTTAATATTACTTGTAAGATTGAAGTAGGGAAATAAAAGGAATTTTTATAAATGTGTAGCTAGAATCCTCTGGAGAATCCATGGGACCAAATAGAGATTTTTAGAATAGTTTGGGTTTTTTAATTTGTATAGTTTTTAGCTGCCTTATCTAATATTAGTACTTTCAGACTTACCTTAAAATTAATACTTGGAAGTAAAGTAAAAGGTAAATTTTTTTTCCCCATTAACTCTTATGTTTGATAACCTTCATTTTTTATAACTTTATGCTTTTGTTTCATTTCCTACACTTCCCAATGAAAGTCACATACTTACTAAGTCATGGAGCTGAAATTTAAGCCTAGGCATTCTGACTTGACTCTACGGAAGTACATTATACTAAGCATTCAGATTTCGCTATATTAGAGTATAATTTTGGATACATGAAGGTAAGTTTGAATTTAGCAATTTGCATCTTCCAAATATAATCAAACTTCATAGTGTAAAGGTCAGACTGTATTAACATATGAGGTCATTGATAATAACCATGGGGCGAAAGGATATATGAGATTGCTTTCATCTTTAGGGAGAGGCTGAGTTAGCATGAGACCATGCATGGGGTGACAGAGTAGGCAGGAAATGGGGAGCCAGCTGAAAAAGAGGATACAGGAAAGAGGTAGTAGACCAAATTGAAGATTACTGTTCATTTGGACAGTTTCCTTATAACAGTGTACCAACATAGAATGTTACATCATAAATCAATAAAATAATTGCCTTTGAAATATAAGTTGATGTTTTCTGGGTGCTCCATCAGTTTTGACTCATGTTACCCCAAAATAAGTGGTGTCAGTGAGAATTATCTTTTATCTGTGAAGTTGTGGTAATGACTTTTTCTAATAATTCAAGATGAATGTGTACCATGATGCAAAGATAATTTTGCTTCAAGGGAAGGAAACTAAAAATTAGAATGAATTAGAAATTTGTTGCTTTAAGTCCATTTAGCTATTATATACTTAGCTATAGCATATTCTATCTTGAGATAACTTGCTTTTAACTGGAAAATTCATTTGTTAAATACCTGAATTCAGTATTAATCCTTGAAGTAAATGATTTTAGCAATTTTTGACACTTAATATTCTTAATTGTATTTATCTAACATGATGGACATATTGAGTTATGTACTTTTCTTTAAATATGTGTATGTTTTTGGTGGTAGTTTTTTAAAGAGCTAATAAATATAATGCTGAAGAAAATTTTTTGAAACTTTGTAAAACATATCTATAAAGAATTATGGATAAAAGATTAATTTGAATTAGCCTCTGATGTCATGCCACATCCTGGCTATGGAAAATGCTTCAATGGATCTAGAATTACAGATCTTTAAAAAGTAATACTATTAACTTTTCATGGTTATTCACTTCCTCATCATAGTATTAAGTAAAGAATGATTCAGAAAGAATTGAATACTTAGAAAAATTTATTCCTCAGTAGCTAGTTATATTTGAATATGTAGTGAAAGCCAAATTGTAAAGAAACTCCCAGTTATTTCTGTAATCTTGCAAAGATTCAGTAATATCACATGACACCCATCAGTCCCGTAGTCGAATTCATCGCAAACCCTTTGTAGCATGTCATTGTTAGTGCTGGTAATGACAGACACGATATGTTCCCTCATTTCCTCAAAGAAGAGGTAGTATAAACAGAAAATGCATACTTGAGATATTACCTAAAAAGAGTAATTTGAAAGTGTTCAATTCTTTTTGAATCATCCCGTACCATCAGAATGTGTATATATTCTTGTCACTAAAAGTTTGACAGAAGTCAAACGAAGTAAAACAACTATTGTAAATAGAGGAGAGAAATAATGATTCACTGAGGAAGAGCTCACTTTCATGAAATGATCATAAGACAGGATTTTTAGTAAAGTAACTAGCTTTCTTAATTTTAACATCAGTTGATATTTTTAGTTCCCTCAGAGAGAAGTAGCAACAAGAGTACACATGCATGATCCTTTATTGAGGAATCTTGTTTAAATATCTAACACTTAAAACTCAGATTTCCACATAATAAATATTAGAGCAATTCAGCTTGGACACTTTTATTTTGTGGGCATTTGATATCTTATTAACTTAAGTCTATCTGGTATTATAATTTTAGTTATTTAATTCATTAACTTAAAGTTATAAAAGATTTAAAGACCTTACATTGTTTTTTCACATTTATTTTTTTAACTTTTTTAATTGCCATATAGCATACCTACGGAGAAGTGCACAAATCATAAGTTATAGCTTGTTTGAGTAATTGCCTAGTCAGCATTACCCATATAACAACCTTTGGGTATCTTTTTACAGGAGACTTTGCAGCAATTGATCATGATGTCATTGCCAAATGTCTTAATCATTGGCAAAAATCCATTTTCTGGTAAGTATTAAAATTAGTATAATGTGATAGTAAGGTCTTATCTTTGTGTAATACTGTAGTGCTTACCAAGATCTTGCTTATTTGCATTAACATACTAGGTTGTTGATGACTCTATGGGGAAAGTTGGAGGTGATACTCCATTTTACAGGGAGAAAATAAACTTAGAATATTTGTAAATTGTATATCGGACCAGATATACATTTTACATTAAGTCCAGTATTTTTTCAGCTCTACCAAATTGATACTTTTCTGTGGTGATTTTTAGTGTCCTCTTATAAACAAATATAGAAGATAATGTAGTTATAAGCTTAAGGAACATAACCGTAGAAAAGAAGTGATTTTGAAATGATTTCTAGGTTTCTGTTCAGATATCTACTATCTACCATTGCCAGAGTTGTTTGAATCTAAGGTTTTACTGATTGATGTGTTGTAATTTCTGTTAAACTACTTCTGGATGGAAAGATGAGAAACAGTTTCTTAAATTATTTAAATTATTTTCTTCAAAACTTTATGCCCTTGACCAGATTTTAAATGTGACATGTTCAGAGTTTTAATTTTTGAATAATTGGGGAAATTAGCAGCTACCTAACATTTTCAACAAAGACTTATTCTTACATGTAATAATACATGTAACTGAAATGAAGTTTATCTTCTCCAAACCCCAGCCCTACTCTCAGTCAAAACAAACCAAAATAAGAACTAAAATCAAACAGTTATTTTTATTGAGGAAACTACCAATTAGATGGGGTGAATTAGGAATTTAGAGAGACTTTAGAGATATTCTGGGATATTTGATTATACAAATTAAAAAATGAAAAAAATATTTTATGTGTAGAATGGAATTATTTTCAATTCCACATGCATTTAGTAATTACCTACCAAGTTATAGGGACCAGGAATATAAAGAAAATGGTCTGTGCTCTGGAGGAGCTTGTGTTTTGGTGAGAGATACACAGATTACTGGGAAATCATGTAATAATTAGTACAAAATAAAGATATGTAAAAATATTAAGGCATATGAAACATGGAGCCATTAATAATTCTTGAAGTTGGCAGATTAGTGAGGGTTGGGGACCATTGGTGGTTGGGTCAGGGAAGACTACACAGAGATGTTAGAGCTGTGCCTAGGATTCTGATTAGTACGAGTTCATTGGAGGGATAAGATATAGGGAACAAAGACAGGCAGAGGGAGTAACAGAAGTTAAGGCAGAGGAGTGTGATGTATACTTGTTTGGGAAAGGGTGTTTTGTATGGGTCATTGTGGCTAAGAAAGTAGGTTGTTTTGTGGAGAGTAGGAGGAAATGTTTGAAAAGAAGATTTGGACTTTATCATAGACAGATTGGCCTGATCGTGAAGTTATGGCCCAAAGAAGTGACATCTTTTTTGCCACCTGAATGTTTTAAGAAAGTCTGAATTGAATGCTGTTGGACAGTGAATGTACTTTCCAGTTCTGTTACGGACCATTAACTTTATCGAGCTTGTTATATACATTTATTTTACTAGCCTCACTGTAACTGACATGTAAGATTTTGATCCTTATAAATCTACACAGTGGAAAACCATTTAAATTTTGTAGGTAGATGAATCATATAAAATAGGTGTTTTAGAAAGAAAACACTAATAGGCCTAAAAGAAGCGAGACCTATTAGGAACCATTTTGGCTGACTTTGTGGCATGCCCCTATATCAGCAGTTGTTAATTTGGTGTGCTGGTATAGTATGATCATTTATGGAAAAGTAGTAGATTTATAGTTAGCATACTTGATTGCACAGAGCCTTGAAGCCTATTTTATCTGTATGAGGGCCCTTCAAAATTGAGATCCTTGCCTATTTCTTCTGCTATTATCCCGTTGTGTACACATGTAGCTGTTTTTTTGAATTCTCCATTGTACTTATAGATTTAATCCTTTGGTCAAGTTGTTGTGAATATTACCTCTAGAGGTAATGCTACCAATGTAAGAGAGTTGAACCAAAGTGAAATGTTATACTTAGTAATTGTTTTTATTTCAGAACAAGGCACAGAAGAAGTTAAAAAGTTGCTTTTACTTTTATTGGGTTGTGCAGTTCAGGTAAGTTAAAATGTTTCTTCATATTTTCATTTTAATAACTTCTTTATATATTTTTTCAGGCTCTAGTTTCTGAAAGACTTAAGGATGGGCCATTGGTTTTCAAAGTCTATGTTAGAAATTTTTAAATAACTGTATAATCTTCTAAGGAGATTTTGAAGAAAAATACTTATTCTGTTATTTTATTTCAAACTTTAGGTACGTTATCAGTCATATCATTTAAAGTCTTTAATTATTTTTCTTTTATTCTAAGGCTTCTAATGGCCCCAGGTTTTTCAGATTTCCTTAGAGGTACCCTTAACAACCACTCCCAAAACATGCTTATAATATATGCATGCCATGTGTATGTTATAGAAGAGAAGGGGGATTAACAGTAAAAAGGAAGTAGAAATTATGAAAAATGTTTTAGGAGTCTAGGTTATTATTATATTACCCTTTTGATCAATGATTATAATAGTAATAGCAGCTGTGATTTATTGAATGCTTACTTGGTGTCAGATATGATCCCTTATATAGGTTTTCTCATAATATCTTTTTTCAGAGAAGAAGATTGGTGTTTGGGTAGGGTGATCCTACCTAAAAATAAGTTATCCAAATTAAGACACTTGTGAGAGTCAAAAACAGTACTATTAACTATTATACTGGAACTGCATGTGTAAACTGGGACTGTCACAGAGAAACCAAGATGGTTGCTCTAGATTTAGGTCATATTGCTTGTAGGACAAAGAGTCGCAATTCAACTCTGGTCTGGCTTCAAAACTTATTATGCTATGTTGATTTTTCCTTTAATCAACCATTGTTTGGATGAGTGATTACAGTGTTCCTTTAAACTATCTCAGTTCTTTGTGGAATAAAGTTATTTGTAAACAAATAAATGATGTGACCACTAGTAATTATATATACATATGCCAGAAATTATATATCAAAGAGAGTGTTCGCTTTTAGAGCCGACTGCTTGGGTGCTATATACTTATACAATGTATGTTATTCAAGTTTTGTACTGTGTGATACAAGTGTTTATAATTGATTAAATATTAAGTTAAATATAGTGTTTGTAGTCATTGCTATTCTAATTTGGTCATCAGATCCTGAGTTAGAAACACAGCCCTTAATTATTCACAGCCTTTGTATACATTTGCTTTTAAAAATACCCTCTGTTGAATGTTATATAAATTTAGATAACATAGTGATAGCATATATTTGACTGTTATTGCTGGTTACTAAAATTGACAATGGGAATGGAGCAGAACCAAGGACTTTTTTAATGAACAGGTTAGAGAAAGCCGAAAATATTAAACCGTTAGAAAAATCTGTTCTTACAGATTTTTACCATCTGTAAGAACAACAGAAAAAGACTATAGAATCTAAGCTTCTTCCTTCTACCTTACTATTTTCTGTAACTTACATGATAGTATCCCAGATGCTGGAAAATGAAAAGGGTGGCAGAGAAATACCATTCCTTTTTCCAGCAAGCTATAGTTTTGATAGGTTACCCAACCCAGGCTCTTCTAGTTCTGCCAGTGGGTGTTTCCTAAAGAAATTTACCGAGAATTTTTATGTTTGAATGACTGTTGATATTCAAGTTTTAATACACCTTCTATCATTTTACTTTACCAGTGAAGTAAAGAAGAGTTATGAACTAGGCATGTTTTTCTTAAAACTACTTAATGAAGCCATGCTAGAAATCACCAATTATCATAATGTCAGATATGTACATTTCTTCTCACTGATGCACAGAACTAAATGCTGCATAAATCAAAAAAGTGTATACATAGACTTACCCTTGTAATGAGCCTACCTTCTAAAATAGTTTACATTAATGTCAGCATGTAATATAAAAGATTTTCTAGCAATGCTAAGTAAATATTCTTAGTTTTTCCTGTTAGTGTGTTAGCTGGTTATGATTACTTGTACTTTAGAGTCACGTGATCTGGGAAGGGTTTTGTAAGGTAGATATTATTTCAAATGGTTATTGGAAAAGGGAGGAAGAATATTTGGATGGATTTAGGTATAAGAAAAGGCACAGAATGGGAAAATTGTGTAAAAGGATAATTATATAAATAGGCATCCGTGTGACACTGTAAAGTGAGCTAGAAAATAAAGGTTATTTTGAGATGTTTAGAGAGAACAGGGCAGTGTGAAGGTAAGTTTTAAGGTTGAGGGGAGGAATTTATTAGTTTTATAATTTTTTTTAATTTCAGGGGAATGGTTCAGAAAGCACGTAAATGAACTATATTAGCAATGTGAAAGAGTGACTTGAGGGAAGTGTGGTTGGAGTCAGTGAAGAGTAATCTATAGCAGTATATTTGGAAGATGTCCAGAACCCAGGGCAGCAAATTTATGTGAGATTAAGAAAGAATAAATACAGGCAAGTTAATTTTTTCGTAGTAAGAGAGGATAGGTTTTATCAATTGTAGAAAACAAAGCAAAGACTCAAGGAGACCATCATGCTAATCCTAACCTGTGTCAACATCATTCAAAGTTTTTATAGAAATGAGGACGTGGCAAGGTTGTCAGACCTTGGTCCTTGATGTGCAATGAGTTTATCAAGAAAACTGTAAACCAGTCTTTGTATATACTTTATGTCTTTGTAGTCACAGCAGAATTTTTTTTTTTTTTACTTGAAAACCCTTGAGACATGCATCTGTTGTGGTGCCAGAATGGCAGATCTCCCAAGAAAGGAGGAAGGATCCAATGTTGAAAAATATTTGTTCATTCTGTATTTTTTAAATGTTAATGACCTGATTTTTTTTTTTTTTGTGAGGAAGATCAGCCCTGAGCTAACATCCATGCCAATCCTCCTCTTTTTTGTTGAGGAAGACTAGCCCTGAGCTAACATCCGTGCCCGTCTTCCTCCACTTTATGTGGGATGCCGCCACAGCATGCCCTGACAAGTGGCGTGTCGTGCTCTCCCAGGATCCGAACCCGGGCCGCCAGCAGCGGAGCGCGCACACTTAACCACTGCGCCATGGGCCGGCCCCCAGTGACCTGATTTTTTTAATGCTCAGTATGTACCAGGTACTGTAGTAAAGGACAGGAACGGGGATTTTTTTTTTTTTAATGCAAAGCTCAAGGAGTTTCAATTTTAAAGGCAGACAGACCAAACAATAACAGTACGAGGTAATAATTACCATAATGCAAGATATATTGGTGCACAGAAGAAACATTTTCTTAAATCTGCTTGTAGTGTCAGGGAATGCCTCTCTCAGGAGATAATATTTGAAATGAGAGCAAAGATATTGAGATAACAACTTGTCAGGGAACATCGAGTCTGACTGGAATGTAACATGTGTACGGGAGAATGGCAAGAGATTAGACTGGAGAGTTGACAGGGATTGGGTCACAAAGGACTGGGTTGGCCATTTTAAGATAGAGTTTAGATTTCATCCTACAGGTGTTTGGGAGCAACTAAGGCTAACGACATTGTGTGTAACTATCAAAATCTCCTGTCAGCCTTCAACTGTGACTATATGAACTATTAGAAATCTTTGTTGATACTGAAGAGCCAAAATGTACTTGAGGACAAAAAACTGTTGATGAAACCAATCAGCCAACAAGTATTGTTTGAACACTTTCTAGAACATAATCTCTCTTACAGAAAATCTGTTCATCTAGTAGTTGAACAGGTTAAAATTCTGATGTTTAGTATAATATATAAATAAGTGGCATAAATATGTTTTTCCACATCAGGATTAGTTTTTATCTGTTACAGCTTGTGATTTGTAGATAGAAGTAGCAAGTTAAAGTTTTCTGATATGATACCAGAGTCTAAGAATTCAGTGGGCCATAGGTTTTAAAAGATGTTATATTCACAAAAAGAAATAGAAAAGGAAGCAAGCATCAGGAAATTAAAAAATGTTTTTCTTCTTTTGAAGAAAAAATTATGAAATTCTTAAAGAGAAGCAGCATTCAAAAAGAATAAAATTAGCCACTATCCAACGATCTTACCTCACAGAATAAATGATAATACAGACTTTTTTATCCTTGATTGTACATAAATATAAGCCACGGGCATAAGTTTGAATATGAAAATCTGTTCAAGGCCAGGGCTTGGATGTTTTCATTATTGACTAACTAAACCAATCCATTTCCTCCAGAATCTTTTTTAATGGATAACACATCTCCTGAACCACTTCTGAGCATCAGCTAGAATTTTCACAAATGATGGCTTTGCGTCCCAGCCCTGAGATAGCTGAGAGATTCCCACGCAAAATTATCCTCCACAGAAGGACAAATTTTTGCAGTGTGTGTTGTTTGGATATTTCTTTTTTTGAAGATGATGTAAAATTCACCCCTTTTCAACAGAACTTAGGTTTTATATCAGTGCTGGCTATTCAGTAACCAAAAATATTACTTATTTTGGACTTTGGCCAGGTTGCATAGTACTGAAAGTAACTGAGTGTCAAGTGTGGTTGGAATTACCATTTTGACCTTTATGTGTGCCCTTACAAGCAATTCTAACCTTAGTAGTTGATTCAGAAAACCAATTTTGAACTTGTTCAGCTTGAGGGCTACAATCTGTTGTTTTCCTGCCAGTTATCTGTAAAACATCTTAAAAGTTAGCATTTTAGAACATTAATTATTGTATTACATTTTTGGGAAATAAAACAATACATAACTTCTAGCCAAGGCATTTCTTTTTCTGAGAATACATGAAAATAGCAAATGTAACTTAATTTAAAGAGGGAATTATTTTGCTGATATTGTTTTTTAAATTTTTATTATTTTTGTAGTTGTGGAAAAATAAACGTAACATAAAATTTACCATTTCAACCAATTTTTAAGTGTACAATTCACTAGCATTAAGTACATTCACATTGTTGTGTAACCATCACCACTATCCATCTCCAGAATTTCTTTCATCTTTTCTAACTGAAACTCTATACCTATTAAACAATAATTGCACATCCCTTTTGGTCCCAGCCCTTGGCAACCACGATTCTACTTTCTTTCTCTATGAATTTTACTACTTAAGGATGTCACATAAGTGGAATCATACAGTATTTGTCCTTTGGTAACTGACTTGTTTCACTTAGCATAGTATCTTTAAGGTTCATCATATTGTAGCACATGTTGGAATTTCCTTCCTTTTTAAGACTGAATAATATTCCATTGTATGTACATACAGTAGTCTCCACTTATCTGTGGGCATTACGTTCCAAGACCCCCAGTGGATACCTGAAACTGCGGATAGTACTGAACCCTATATATACTATGTTTTTCCTATACGTACATACTTATGATAAAGTTTAATTTATACATTAGGCAAAGTAAGAGATTAACAACAACAACTAATAATAAAATAGAACAGTTATTACAGTATACTGTAATAAAAGTTACCATAGATCTTAGCAACCTCAGCATACGATTTTTTTCTTATTAAGTCGAGAACTTTCACCTTTCACTTAAAGGAAGCATTTGACAGCTTCTCTTTGGCATATCTAAATTACCAGGCATAGCACATTGGGGCTAGTTTTAAGCAAAATAAGGATTACTTGAACACAAGCACTGGGTGACAGTTGATTTCATAATCAAGATGGCTGCTAAGTGACTAACGCTGGATGAAGGGATGATTCATGTCCCAGGTTGGATAGAGTGAGATTTCATCACACTACTCAGAACATCACGCAATTTAAAACTTATGAATTGTTTATTTCTGGAATTTTTTTATTTAATATTTTTAGACCACAGTTGACCGTGGGTAACTGAAAACTGCAGGAAGCGAAACCACGGATGATGGGGGACTCCTGTACCACATTTTATTTATCCATTCATCCATTGATGGACACTTGGGTTGCTTCTACTTTTTGGCTATTGTGAATAATGCTGCTCTGAACATGGGTATACAAATAGCTGTTTGAGTCTCTGTTTTCGGTTCTTTTGGTTTCTGTCTGAAAGTGGAACTGCTGGATCATGTGGTAATTCTGTTTTTGATTTTTTTAGGAACTGCCATACTGTTTTCTACAGTGTCTGTGGCCATTTTACATTCCCGCCAACAGTATACCATGGGTTCCAATTTTTCCACATTCTTGCCAACATTTATTATTTTCTGGGTTTTTTTGTTGGTGATAGTCATCTGTGAAAGAGGAAATTTTAATTTTTCTATTTTTATTTCTTTTATGTGGCTTATTTTGGTCTTTGGTAGAACTATGTTCTGTTCAGTCACTAGTGTTCTTATTTTATTGAAAACACTATACTGTATTCCTTATTTTATTCCTGTTCAGTAGCTTGTTTTGGGTGCCCTTTCCACTATTTTAATGTAGTTTTTCCACATAAGCTTGTCTTCTTTTTTTAAGAGAAAGCACTGAGAATAGCAAGTGAAAATATGAGGAATTTGAGGAATAATGTATTAAGAGCATAAACTCTCTGGTGGAAGATATACAATTTTAGGATTAATGTAATTCTCCCTCCCCCACCACCTCCCACCCAAATAACCTTCTTACTCTTTTCCTATATCCCAGCTTCCATCTTATATTTTTGGAGTATCATGGTAATCTGCTGGCTTAGGAATCAGTTATTATAATAGAGTTCAAAGTATCTTTAGTGCCCATAACACTTTAAGAACTTTGTATAAAGGTAAAAGAGAAATGCATACAAAATAGTGCATACTTAATTTTAAGTGGAAAAACAATTTGCAGATAATTAGTCTTCACAAGTCTTTATAGCTGGAAGTAAAACTATTTATATGTCTGTTTTTAACACCAGACTTTTTTTATGTTGTAGAGCTGGGCTGTCAGTATAGTAGTCACTAGCTACGTGTGGCTATTTAAATTAAAATTAATTGCAATTAAATAAAATTAGAATTTCAATTTCTTAGTTGCACTAGCTACATTTTAGTACTCAGTAGCCACATCTAGCTAGTGATTACTCTGTCGGACAACACTGATGTAAAACATTTGGTCTGATTATTCAGCTTCAAAGTTTGAACCTTCTCTCATTCTCTTTTCCATCTTAGTCTTTCTCTTTTCTATCCTTCAAGATCCTATGAAAGTCATTCCGTATTCTTTAAGAAATCCTAACTTATTTATAAAGTGTTTTCAGAAATCGTAAAACCTTTGAATAAAGATGAGATTTAATAGAAATTGTGGGTATTGTAAGGGTAAAGGAAGAATTCTCATTGATTTGTGTTGAGACTGTGTTAAAGGGTGAGCTCCTAAAGATAGTATAAATAAAGAAGCGGTGGCTCTAGGGCTTAGAAAAGGAAAGTGTATCTGTTTAAACTGAAGGCAGACAAAGATTTGCAGTTGAATTAGGGGACCCTTCAGTGAGACAGTCATTATAATCCTGGCATTTTGTGTGTTCATCGGCTCAGAAACTATACATAGGTCAATATTTTTTGGAAGCATTAAATTTAAAAATTAGGGTTACCATACCTAAAAAGTTAGTTATTTTATATTTGCTACAATTGTACATCAGAAAGTCATTTTTAATTATTCTCATTAGGCCTGTCAAATATAATTTACTAGACAAACAAAATTCTTGCTTTTAAACTCATCCCATCCCCCCAAAACTCTGACTTCCTAGTCACAACTAGGAATTGTACGTTCCTGGTAATTTAATTTTAAATATTGTTAATCATCCTAATAATTTTGTTTTTACAGAATATAGAACTTTCTGCACTGATGGGAATGGGTTTAATTGTGTTAAATTGTATGGCAATAGAAATAGAATGTTATGATTTGATATAATAAATGTGTAGAGTATAAATCAGAACCTTGCTAAGTTTCTTAATGATCAAAGAACCAGTTTTTCTTTTTGTGAGTACATTGTCTTCACTAGTAGTTCAGTAATTGGCCCAGGAGATGCAACTAAGCTAGACAAGGCGGTGCTGTCTATTTTGTATGCACTTCTCATTTGGTAGCTGCAAGAATACAGTTATACTAAACAGTTGGATTGCAGTATAAGAGATGTAGACAGAAGGCGGAGATTAAGATGCATGTTAAACTGCTATTCAATACTGACTGGAAAGAAAAAGATGAAGTTTCCATTTTAATATTTTTAATTTCTCTAAAGCTTTTAAGAAGTTACACAATAAAGAATTGCTGCCTTTATTCCACTTGATACATGTGTACTTCTATATATATTCTTAAATTTTGCCCCTGGTAACTTTATGTTATTTTAGAAACAAATCAAATATTTATTGTATTACCTTGTAAATGTTGAACTGGGCCACAAAAGTAGGTTTCTTTTATTAAGATTGATAGGATGAAGATGTGAGAATGAATTGTAAGCTTGAAGTAAAAATTGCCTAAGAGTTTTTTTTTCCCAAGAAGAAAGGCTGTGTTGTTTGATAATAGCCAAAGACTGACTGAGCATTTTGGCTGTATTCCGAATTCTGCCACTGACTCACTGTGTTTTTTGGCAAGTAACTTATCCTCCCTGAAACAAGTTCTTGATTCTTTACTTCTCTGTTTGTAAAGTTAGCATAATAATATTGTACTGACCTCAGAGGGGTTGTGTAATGGTTTCCCGCTTTAGAATTTTCCAGCATAAAAATAATATAGATTTTCAATGCCTTGCTTTTTAAATAAATATTTCTAAATTGTCATCTTTTTATTAGGTAAGAATATTAAAGAGACCATTTAAATGCAAAACAAAACAAAACCCTCATTATACTGTTCAAAACATAGCCAGGCTTTTTAGTTTGATGAGTTTTTAGTTATTTACAGCATGTTAAGGACTATGCCCTATAACGTATGAATGATCGTTTTATTCATTTCTTTTAGTGTCAGAAAAAAGAAGAATTTATTGAAAGAATTCAAGGTTTAGATTTTGATACAAAAGCAGCAGTTGCCGCACACATTCAAGAGGTAATAACCTGTATACAATTTTTATATGCATTTTATGAAGGTTGTGATATGTTTATTTGTATATGTCCCCAAATACTAAAGTCATAGGATAAGCAAGAACAAATCAAGGTCAAATATAAATGAACCCTGCTTTTAGACAAATTGTCTTTTTCTCTTTAGAGAGAGCTTCTTAGATGAATCATCTTATACAGGGCACAGTGCTAGCTACAAATGTACTGTTGCCTTTATCCACAGGGACATAGGGAGAAAGTGTTATTTGAGGAATGAAGTATATGTCTTTGTTAGCACAGAATGAATAGTATAGTAAATGGAAGCAGCAGAAAGTGGATCACTGCCTGTCGTTCAAAACTAAAGTGAGGTAAGATGACAACCTTAGTATTATGTCATCCCAGTGATTTTCTTTTGAATGAATGCACACAGCATTATTTTTATTGATGATACTACATGAATTATAAACACATTAGTGATTTGCAACATTCATATGAAAACTTAAATATACGACATATTGTGCAGTGTCAAATAATTGAAGTTAATATAATTTATTTGTTAAGATTGCTTTTAAAAGCTGCTATTTCAGTATCTATCTAGTCTTGGGCTTTTAATCTTGTGTGCTTAACAAGACTATTTAGAGCGAGAGCGTGTTAAATTTTACATGTTGACTAGAGAGAGGACTAAGGAAAGGGAAAGGAGAGAATTTTTAAATAGTGAAAATTGGTAGTGTTTAAAATATTTTCTATTTAATGTCTTTGTGTTCCATATGTCGTCTTTTCTTGTAGTTGACATTCGTAGAACCCAGCTTTTTTGTTGGTAATAGTATTGTCAACAGTAAGCATATTAGTACTCTACAAGATACAATTTTATTGGTAGTTTCTATTTATATAAATGTTTTTATATATAAAATCTTTGTATTTTATTTTGCATAAATGTTAACTATTGCAAGTTACTAAATTTGCCACCATTCTTGAAAGTGTTATTTTTGCTGTTTATTGTTAAAGCAAAAAAGTTAAAGCAAAATGTCAGAATCACAGCAAGAAATGGAAAGCAAGAAATAAGTATTTCACTTATATAACTTTTCCATTCTTTTAAAAATCTTTATTTTGGGAGTCGTTTTCTCCTAAGGTTCTATAATAGTGTCATCTTCAGAATCTATAAAGACTTAGCTTTTCAGGTATAAAGATGCAATAACATATATCCTACAGGAGTAAAAAATTTTTGGTTTTGAATTCAAGTACAATAAATTTAGTCTTATCTAAAGAAAAGTTCAATTGATTTTGTTAAAGCAGGTTATCAATATTACTTTGCCTTAGGAATGCCTTAAATTAAATATTTTATGTTTTAATTGACTGGAAAATAAATATAAATTCATTTAAAGATTATATTTAGTAAAAATAATTTTTAGTAGTAGTCTTTTCATCATTCATTAATTTCAAATGTTCTTTGGATATCATATTTGCTTTTCATATTTTTATTATATGGGATATATAATATTTGAGTTAATTTTGTGCTAAAATGAAATAGATTTTTAAGTATTAGTCATTTTTTAAATTGTTTATTTTGGTTGTTTTTCTAAAGGTGACCCATAATCAGGAAAATGTGTTTGATCTTCAGTGGATGGAAGTGACTGATATGTCTCAGGAGGAAATAGAACCACTCTTGAAAAATATGGCATTGCATCTAAAAAGACTTATAGATGAGAGAGATGAACATTCAGAGGTTTGTAAATTTCTTTCAGTATATTATGAAAATTTGCTTTCCAAAAAAGAAAAAACTAGCTTCATAGATTTTTCAAAATTGATACTCTGTTTCTTAAGGACAGGTAATAAAGTACTATATGTCTTTTTTTGTGCAGCACAAGAACCAGAAAAGATATATAAAATCCCCAAATTGCTAGTAAACAGATTGCAATTAGGTTTTCTTTTCTTCTTTCCTTTTAAATTATTATTGTAATTTTGTTCCTGTGTGTTTTTTAAGTCATCCCCATAGCTCTGGCGACAGAACAAAAGTGTGAAACTGAAAATATCATTGATGTACGTGGAAAAATCATTGCCTTGAAGCATAAGAATTTGCTTAAAGTTAATTTCTTAATTTTATTGCCACGTTTTGAGGTTGGAAAAATAAGTGTTAATAAAAGTAGAATAACAGGTGTTCTGAATAAAATATCCCACAAAAGGTCTCAAATGTTTGTAGTCAGTATAATGAGGTGTGATTTTAAAAAAGAGAATTATAAGCTCCTTTAAAAGAGTACTTTGCCTTTTAAAAAGAGTGAAATTGCACCAGGTTTTTTGCCTGCACTCTTTGAAGGCAGCTTGTAATTTTTAGAGGAGTCTAGACTTCAGTGCAGTGGTAGTGAGTAGTATTTTCTTAACAGTTGACCAAAGTACTCTGCCATTCAGGAGAATATATAGCTTTCATCAGTTGTTCCAGGAGAGACGGTTTTGACCTTATTCATAGAAAATTTGATTACTCTTGGGACTAGTGAAAGACTACATAGAAGGAATTCCTAAATATTTTTTTTCTGAATAAAACTGTCATGTCTCTATAGAGTATATTAAGTTCTGATGGGAATTTTCAGTTTTTCTTCAGGCATTAAAAAAGAAGAAAATATGGAAAATAAAGAAATATTTTAGAGCAACAATTAAATTTTTTAAAAATCTAAGACACTGAAACCAAAGGAAGAAAAGAGTGAGTTGAAAAACATCCCTAGCAAATATCAAACTTATCCTGAGATTTATATTATTTCATTTTCAATCTGATATTGGAACCATATGCTGTATCTTCTTTTTGTATTAGTGTCTTTTCACTGCTTTATTCATTTTCTAGAACATTTGTCTATTTGTATTTCAGGATATCAAAGGTATTTTGAAAGGTGTCCTCCAACTTCTGAGGAATTACTTCTACAAATGTATACTTTGGTTTCATGTGACTGATGGACACATATAAATTGTTTGATCTCACTTGAAGTGATTAATATGGGGTGAAGGAGGACATTTTGGAGAAATGTGAATAAAATACTTGTCATTACATGATCTGTGTCAAAATTAAAAGGAATATGAAATACTATATAGAGTGATTATTGGAAAAACCTTTTAAAATCTGTTATCCTGCCTGATTAAGCATTATAGTTGAATTTGTTTTTCTAACAAGGAAAAAAAAGTCACATTCTCTTGTCTCAGGTATTCCGGAAGCAAGTTGCTAGTTAGTTTAAACTGAATTCTCTGGGGAAAAAATTTTCAATTTGGGTCACCAGTGTACTAATTAGAAAAGATAATTTAAAATAACTGTGAAAAATATTAGACAAATCTAAATACAGTATGTAAATATAATAATTCTGTATCATTCAATTGGATTGAAACAAGTTCTTATTTAGATTTTCCCTTTAACTTTTTTTCTGTTTTGGTTGATCCTTTATCATAATTGTTTCAGTTTAATCTAGAAAGTATAATTTGGTCCCTCTGTTTTTAATTGCTCTTCATTTTTTTATTATTAAGGCTGTGTAAAAAGTATTTCTTCGGTCCTCCCTTTTTACTAAAAATCAAATAGGAGATTTTAATGAATTTAAAATCTTTTTATTGGCACTGTTCATTTTATGCCAAGCTTTGTGTTATAAGTTTATCATATACTATCATCTGCACAATAACCCCCCATTTTATAGATGAAAATACTCGCTCTCAGAGAAGTTAAGCTTATGTTTCTACCATTATAATACCCTTGCCAAAATCTATGATTGTGCTGAGCACATCTCTGATTCTTTTCCTTAATAATGAGTTCCATATGTAGAATTATTAGGGCACTTGAATGTTTTTCTTAGCATTGATGTATCTTTTTACGATAATTTTTCAGCATATATTAATAAATGCGTGCTTTTTGCAAGATCTTGTGCTAGAGTGCTTGGGAGCAACAACTGACAAACTTTCAAAAAAGAACCAAAGATGTTACAATCTAATAGGGAAATTATTTTAATAAAATAATTAATTGTAATAATAAATTTTGAACGTGTTAAGTACCAAAAAGAGACATATATCTAAAGACTATAGAATTTAAAGAAGGAAGATGTTACTTCCAACTGCTAGTGGAATGTCTAGGATTGTAAGGATCAGAGAAGGCATATGAAATGAAAGTCATGCTTTAATGACATTTCCTGTCAGATTTTTTGGAAAATGTTTGGAGGTCTTAAGCTCAAGAAACTACCACCATTAGAGAAAAGTCCAAATGTCTACATAATCTTTAATGGAAAACACCTCTGAATACTCTTAATTCTTAGTTCCTGGTTTCTTTTTTTCCTTTTTTCTGTTTAAAAAATATTTTGCAGCCCATAGTTCTCTTGTGCTCTGTTTGTTGGCATCTGGAAGCTCTTGATATCTCCATTTCACCACCTACTAAGTTCAAATGTAGTATGTGTCTTCAGTACTTTTCTTGAGTTCTCCATTTTGTGAATCACTCAGTTAAATATTTTTGAGCAGCCCTTTTTGTGCTCAGTACTCTGCTGGATAAGATCAGAGATACAAAGGAGGCATAACAAAGATTGTATCTGTTTTATTGGGAAAAAACACACTGTAAATGAAAAATGTAAGGTAGCATATAATTAAATTTTAATTTATTTGTGTGTGAAACAAATGTTTATTATATACTTACTATGTGCAGGTAGTATTGTTAGAGTCGGGAGATGTTAGAAAACAAGATTAAAGATAATTGAGATAGTAAGAAAAGATACGAATAGAAGTTGACTCCATTGAAGTCCGTAGGCTGGACTACTATAGAGATTAATGAAGCTATTCACGGAGACAGGAAAGTTGGGCTGGGCACACGGGTAAGTGGATAGGATGAAGTAGTGTTAATGAATATATAAACTACCCTTCAAAGAGAAGCATTGAAAGAGAAATAGAAGTAGCAAGAGGGAAATGTGATTTTTTTTTCCCGAGATAGAAGAAACTTGTATATCTTTGAAGAACAAGGAGAAAAAAGCCAACTGAAGATGTTATAGAAGTAAGGAATTTGTGTTGGGAGCAAGGGATACATAAAAATGGAGGCGTTCATCTCAGGTGCTTTTGTTTCTTTGACAAGTTGGAGGAGAGGTCATTTGTTGGAAGTGGTGATAGCAGTTTGCAGTATGAAGCTTAAGTAGAGAAAAGGGAATATATTTACAACAGCCATTGTGGGGAAATTTGCTGGGAAATCAGTAAGATTTCAATAAGAGGATTGATGGGCATTGGAAAGAGCTTAATTGAAATTGGATGGCAAGATCTGTAGTAGGGCTATGTGGTTTTTTTTCTCTCTCTCTCTCAGTTCTTTATCACCTTGGAGCAGGAATAGAAAAAACTCATGGTAGGTAAGAAAAATGACATAGTGTTAGTGTCAAACTTGAATTTGAATTCCTGTTATACCTATCTTTAGATGTGTGACTTTGGTTAAGTAATTTAACCTATATGAGCCTTAGTTTCCTTATGTCTAAAAATAGACATAATACCTCTATTGCTGATAATAGTATCGGATGAGATCTTGTTGCAAAATTCCTTAGCTAGGAGTTCTATAAATATTAGTTTCTTTTTCCTTTTTCCCCAAAGGGTGAGCCATAGTCAAAGATGGCATGGTACTGTTAAATTAGAAAGTAAGGGTGACATTTAAGGGCCTAATTTAGTTCCAGGCTGAGTAGGAACTCTCGAATAGCCAGGAATAATCTGTTTGATTGGGCAGAAAGGGGGAGTTGAATGATTAAAGGTTCAGGCATAGATATGGTGACATGGGAGTAATGCTAGTAAAGGAGGCATGGCACAAAAGAGGAGTGATTCCTTCACTGGAGAAGCCTGTGTGTATGGAATAGGGAATGGATGTGGAATTGTAGAGAGAAAAAGAACTGGGAAGTCACGTTCTGTGGTTTATCAGTAGGCTTACTAGAATCTGTGAAAGTCATAGGTGGACAGACCTTCATTCAGGTGCTGAAATGTGTCCCAAGGATAAAGAAATGAATTCTGATGGGTGGTTTGAAAAAAAAAAGAAAAGTAATGATTCAGTGAGGGCGGTATAAGACTTGGTGATGAGAAACAAAGCAAGGATGGTGTTTCCATGGTCCCAAGTTGTTTATTCTGCCTATTCTGTCTGAAGTAGAAGGACAGTTGAAACTGCTATAGAAGACAATTTCTGTTTGCCTGAGAAGTTTTAAAGAAAAGCAGAAATTGGTTTAGAATAAGAGAATTTTCCAATAAATTAGAGGAATGGAGGAATATGATTGAGTGAGGTACATGTAGGTTAAATAGCTGTTAAAGTTCAGGTTTAGGATAAGTAGAAGGAGATTTGTGCCCCATGGAGGGTCTCTAGAGAAAGGAATAAAGGAAGTGTTGAGAAGTAAGCAGATTGGAACTAGTATTGCAAGAGAGAGTGCATAGTTTATGGAGTCAAGAGACTGACCTGGAGTCTTGGGATTGCTACTAGCTACTAGTGTGATCATGGACTAATCAATCTCTGTGCTTCGGTTACTTGCACAATTAAGAGATGGAGGGATCTGTTAGATCTCTCTGAGGTTGCTGTTTACAATTCTAGAGCTGTGTCGTCCAATTCTGCAATGATGGCAAGATTATATTTCTGCACTGTCCAGTACAGTAACCATTAGCTACATGTGGCTGTTGTGCACTTGAAATATGGCTAGTGTGACCAAGGAACTGTATTTTTAACTTTTTAAATTTGTAATTAAATAGCCACTTATGCTACTGGCTACCATATTGGACAGCATGGTTGTCGGCATATCACTCTTGGGTTAATTTCTTTCCTATGTCAAAAAAGTCTTTTATGCCTTTCCAACAGTTGCTATGTGGTCTAGTTATTTTACCACACTTGATTTCTTTTGTTAAAAAACTAGAAATGGGCCGGTCCTGTGGCATAGCGGTTAAGTTCATGCACTGCACTTCAGCGGCCCGGGGTTCACAGGTTTGGATCCCAGGCGCGGACTGACGCACCGCTTGTCAAGCCATGCTGTGGCGGCGTCCCATATAAAGTAGAGGAAGATGGGCACGGATGTTAGCCCAGGGCCAATCTTCCTCAGCAAAAAGAGGAGGATTGACAACAGATATTAGCTCAGGGTTAATCTTCCATACACACACACAAAAAATACTAAAAACAAAAAATATTAAATCTTGTTCTAGTGTTATCTACTAAATACCTGATCCATGAACTGTTAAATGAAATTTTTAAAAATGACAGCTAAATATGACAAAGTTAAGATATTTTTGACCAATGAATTGTTTTTGATATTGTAGTATAGTACTTAGACTCAGTGAATACTGTTGGTGTGTTTAGTTCTCTGATGTGTAGAATACTAAAAGTGATTCTGTGTTTATTTCTATATTTCCTTAGACTATAATAGAACTCTCTGAAGAACGGGATGGTCTTCATTTTCTGCCCCATGCCTCTTCCTCTGCACAGTCACCCTGTGGTTCTCCAGGCATGAAGCGAACAGAAAGTCGACAACATCTGTCAGTGGAACTGGCTGATGCTAAGGCCAAGATAAGGAGGCTTAGGCAGGAATTGTAAGTTGCTGATTTTCAAGGCTCATTGACTTTATATGGTCGTAAAGGTGACCTAAACAATATTTTTAGGTGTATGGAATATAGATTAGTGGTTCCTCATTGCTAGCCTGTTTTTACTAGTATTTGTCAAAATGAGAAAAATAAGGAGACTGGCATAGGGTTTTCCTAATGCTAAATCTTACCAGTGTAAAGGATGCCCTTTCTGAGTTTATGTCCTTCCTATCTTTGTAGTGTTAAGATATTCTTTCTTTTATAAAATAGTGTTTTTCCTTGGCAAATTGGGGTCTCTCTAATTTTTTTTATTTTTACGTTCCTTGAAATCCAAAATACTGGCAGCCACTGATACAGATCAATAGGTTTAGCTTTTTTAAAATTAATATTATAAAAGACTGAATTGTTGGCATACAGTATTACAAAATAATAATCTTGTGTGTTTATCTTCTGCATTGAGTAATTGAAATGCCTGAGTCATGTACTAAGAAATGGTAAATATTCAGATTAGTTAGTGCTGATGAAATTATATTTATTTAATTTTCAAAGATCACTGCAGAAGTTAGTATAAATGTCACATAGGCATTCCTTGGTGAATCACATGTAAAGACATAACCAATCTCTGCTGGAGATTTTTTATTTTGCATTTTAAAAAGAACAAAGGATTTTTGTGTTTGGGGCTTTTTGTTTTTTTTTTTTTTCCCTTAGCTTGTTTTCCTGGAATTTGGGCTTCAGAGTGTAGATTTTGAACTTAAAGCTACAATATAGCAATTAAATTTACTTACTGATTATTTAAAGCAGTTGGTTTAAGAAAGTGATTGAATATGCAAGGTAGAAAAAATATACAGTCTATAGGAAAATTTGAAAACAAAAAAATACAGCTTTCATTGTGGATGTCTGCATTATTATGTATCTATTGAAATGAACACGCCCAGGATATTCTATAAACAGCTGCACCAGGAAAATTAGGGAAGAGATTGCTGTTATTAGTTTGACTGGCAGTTAATGGATAGCCTAAACAGTGAACACTAGTTCATTCCATATAATTTAGAACAATCTTCTGCAGTCTTTAGATAAAGCATGCAATTAGAACTGCAGTGATGGCTTTGAATTCATTTAACATTTTGCACTATATTAGAATCTGATTTTTGAATAAAATTTACTTGGCCATGGAGTATATTAAGATTCCAGACAACTTAAAGGATTGATAAAGTTTGGTCTCTCATATGCTGATTGGAAAATGTAAATGAATATTTTTAACAGGTAAATAAATATGCCAGATATATGCCAAACTGTTCCTTTGTGTATTTCTTCTGTTAACATTTATTTTAAGTCTTTTTGTTAGGACGGATCTTTACTGAAGTAATGAAGTATGGAAATCATGGTGGATAAAAATAGTTCAGGTTGCCGTATACCTAATGGAAATAAATAATTGTAATGAGAACATGCAGATTAACTAATAACATACTTATGGGTGATACATCAAAATATAATTGCTTTTGATTTATTAACATATAGAGCAAAAGTATAATTTGCAATTTGGATGGAAGAAGTAATTCCTTATACATTTCACTTTAATGCAGTAGTTAACACTATCAAAGACTTCCTTTAATAATTCTCTCTGCCTGCATGGATCCCATGTTTTCAAAGAGTTTTTCTATCACATAAATTTTTTTTTTTTGGTGAGGAGTATTAGCCCTGAGCTAACATCTGTTGCCATTCCTCCTCGTTTTGCTGAGGAAGATTGGCCCTGGGCTAACATCTGTGCCCATCTTCCTGTACTTTATATGTGGGACACCTGCCACAGCATGGCCTGATAAGTGATGCATAGGTCCGCGCCTGGGATCCAAACCTGTGAACCCTGGGCCCCTGAAGCAGAGCATGTGAACTTAACCACTATGCCACTGGGCCGGCCCTGACTATCGGATAAATTATTAATTCTTTTTTTTAAATAACAGGTTTATTGAGATATAATTCATGTATCAGACAATTCATCCTTTTAAAGTGTACAATTCAGTGATTTTTAGTATATTCATTGAGTTGTGCAACCATCACACACTATCTAATTTCAAGACATTTTCATCATCCTAAAAAGAAACTTCATACTAATTAGCAGTCACTCCCTATTCCCCTTTGCCTTAGGCTCCTGGCAACCACTAATATACTTTCTATTTCCATGGATTTGCCTATTCTAGACATTTCATATAAATGGAATCAAACATTATATGGCCTATTGTGGTTGACGTCTTTCACTTAGCATAATGTCATCAGGGTTTGTCATATTGTAGCATTTATCAGTTTTCTGGTTGAATAATATTCTGTTATATGGATATACCACATTTTGGTTATCCATTTATCAGGACATTTGGATTGTTTCCACTTTTTGGCTATTATGAATAGTGAGCCTATGAATATTCGAGTGCACATTTTTGTGTGGACATACGTTTTCAATTCTCTTGGGTATATACCGAGGAGTGGAAATAGTAGGTCATATGGTAGCTCTATGTTTAACTTTTTGAGAAACTGTCAAACTATTTGACTGCACCATGTTACATTCCCACCAGCAATGTATGAGGGCTCCAATTTCTCTATATCCTCATCAATACTTGTTATTTTACATCTTTTTGATTATAGCCATCCTAATGTGTATGAAGTGATATCTCATTGTGGTTTTGACTTGTGTTTCCGTAACTAATGATGTTGAGCATCTTGTCATTTGCTTGTTGGCCATTTGTATATTTTCTTCGGAGAAATGCCTATTCAGATCTTTTGTCCATTTTTAAATTGAGTTGTGAGATAAACTTTTAATGAGATCAGTGAAATAATGTGAAACTGAAGATGTATTAGAAGTCTCTATAGTCTGCAGTTGAAACCCAAAAGAGTTTTGATCCTTTCTGACTTGAGGGAAAAAAAAGTGGTGTCAGGAAGATTTCATGGCGATAGTCACATTTTGGTTGGTGTTAGGCATTAAGTAGGTCTAAAAGGCTCAATTAGTTATTCTAAGCAGAAGAAACTGCAACAGGTTCAGTGGGATATAAGGAGGGGCATGGCTAGAAAAGTTGAAAATGATGGAGTGGATACATGGAAGGTCACGTGTGCTTTACTCAGAAGTTTGGACTTTAAGCAGTGGGAACCAATTGAAGTTTTTTTGCATAGGAGAATAACAAGATCAGATTTATGCTTTAATGAAGAGGTACTAGCCTAGTGGCCAACTCTTAGTGAGTGTTCAAATTGAAAAAATAAATTCTGGTGGCAGTGTGAAGGTGAATTGAAGGACAGTCCAGGCACGAAGTGGTGTAGGCCTGATCTAAGGTTGTAACAATGAGGTTGGAGAGGAGGTAAGGGACAAGGCAGGGTCTTTGGTATAATTCCTAGTTTTCTGTAATGAGTGTCTATCTGGATGGTGAATGTCATTCACTCAGGGAACATAAGAGAGAGGAATAAGATTCAGGTGAACGGCAAGTTTAGTTTTTGACATATTTAGTTTGAGATACCTTTGAAATATCTCTGTGGAAATGATCACTGGATAATTGACTATCTGGTCCACAATGCAGAATAGAGATTTGAAATCACTAGCTTACTAATGCAGAATAATATGCAGCGTGTAAATAGTAGTTGAAACCTTGGGAGTGGATAAGACTGCTCAGAAAGAACATAAAGAATGAGAAGGATGTAATCTGAAGAACACAAACATTAAAAAGGTATTTAAGTGGTTAAGGGCAGACTTCACCATTTATTAGCCACATTATAAAACTGGCTAATAAAAAACTGTTTGACTCAGTTTCTGCATCCATAAAATGAGACTTCTGATAATACAAACTCTAGAGAGATACAGCGTATTATCAAGTGTGTGAGCTTTAGAGCCATTCTGCCTGAGTGTGAATCCTGGCTCAATACTTCTTAACTGAGTGGCCAAGTTACTTAATCTTTCTAAGTCTGCTCAGTTTCCTAGCCTATTAAGTAGGAATAATAACTATTGTGACTACTGTAGGGTTGTTGTGTGAGGTAAATATGTAAAGTGAATGGTGTCTAGTACATAAATGTTCAATAAATGTAAGCTGCTATCACTGCTACTATTTCTTTAAAGGGCTCTTGTAAGGATTAAGCGTGTGGCAAAGTGTAAAGTGCCTAGCAAAAGTGCCGGGCACAGATAATGAGAGCTTGATAATTGTTAGCCAAAAAATGGGCACAAAACATGAAATCAACATAAGGGTCAGAGAATTAATATGTAGAGAAGTAGAAAAACCTAAGAGTGTGGAGTCATGGAAGCCAAAGGAGAGAGAGCATCAAGAAGAATGAAGTTAACTGTATTAAATTCTTCAAAAAGATCTGAAAATAATCCATTGGCTAAAGCAATAAGGAGGTAATTAGCTCTATGAAAAACAGTGTCAGTGGGGAGGTTTGGATGGAAGTCTCATTGCTGTGGACAGAATGGTCAAATAAGTGCAAAAAGGAATTATTAATGAGCTGGAACTCCTGGATGACTCTTTTGGAAAAATTATTTAAATTCATCACATACACCAAAGTGAATTTCAGATGCGTTAAAAAGCCAGATGTAAAAAATGAAATAATGCTGAAAGAATCAGAAAGAAATATAGAGAATATGTATATGTTCTCTAGGTGGAGAAGAGCTTTGCATAAAAGCAAAAGAAATATTTATAAAAGGTCATTGTTCTATTTGTGTAAAAAGTGTTAAATATGTAATCATCTGGGGAAAAAATAAGTGAAATTAAAAGCATTGACAATATTCCTAAGAAATTTAAACAGAGAATTTTCATATGACCCCACAAATCCACTCCTAGGTATATAGTCAAAAATTGAGAACAAGGACTCAAACAGATAGTTGTTTGCCAGTGTTCACTGCAGCCTTGTGCCCAATAGCCAAAAGGTGGAAACAACGCAAGTGTCCGTGAACAGATGGATGGATAAACAAAATGTGCTATAGGTATACAAAGGAATATTATTCAGCCATAAAAAGGAATGAAATTCTGATACCTGCTACAGCATGGATGAGCCTTGAAAACAATTTGCTAAGTGAGATAAACCAGATACAAAAGGACAAATATTGTATGATTCCACTTAAATGAAATATCTTTAATAGGCAAATTCAGAGAGACATAAAGTAGATTAAAAGTGGGGGCTGCGGGTATTGGGGAATTGGAGAGTTATTGCTCAATGGGTACAGAGTTTCTCTTTGGGGTGATGAAAAGTTCTGGGAATAGATAGTGGTGATAGTTTAACAACATTGTAAATGTAATTAATGCTACTGAATTATACACTTAAAATGGGTAAAATTGCAATTTTATATATATGTTACCACAATAAAAAATTTATTTTTCATTTTTAAAAAAGCATTCCACAATCTGTAAAGAAATATTTGTAATAAATAACTTACAAATCACAAAAGGTAATAGCCTTTTATCAGAAGAAATTTTAATGACACAAACATAAGAAAACAAAATTAGCCTTTTCCAGTATTCAAATAAATGTAAATTAGAACAATAACAGCATTTTCCAATGGTTAAATTGTTTCACATATAGGTACTTTTATCCTCTGTTGGTTGCATTATAAATTGGTAATGACCTTTCTTGAGGGCAGTTTGACAGTATATATCAAGTACCTTTAAACCTGTAATGTACTTTTAGAAATCTGTCCCGAAATACACAGTGTTTTATGTATAATAAGTTTATTTATCAAAACATTATTTATTATAGTGGAAAATGGAGTCCACTTAAGTAAATAAATTATGGTTCCTCTATCAAAGGGAATAATTTTCCGTTAACAATTAATGGTTTTGAAAAAAATGTACAGGTGTAAGGAGATGTGAACAACAGATTGTTTTATACAATGAACATTTACCTTTTATTATTAAAGAACAGAAGGTGGAAAAGTAGAGATAGTGAGTGGAGACTTTACTTTGAGGAGCTTGGCTCTGAAGGGGAGATAGAAAATGGGAGTTAGAAGTAAAGCAGTGCAAAGAGAAAATAATTAATAGGAGAAATTTGAGGATGTTATAGGCTACAGGGAAGAAACCAATAGAGAAGTAAAGATTTTAGGTATCTGTGTGGCAGTATATAATTTCCTTTAGGCTACTGTAAATGTTGAAAATAGTTTGGAAACCCTTTTAAATAAGTGTCAGACCCAGATAGTATTTATTGTCTTGCATAAAAACTTTTCCAGCTTATTTATCTTTGGCTATGCAGAGAGGGAGAGAGGGAAAAAGAGAGAAGGGAGAATGGGAATGGAAGATGGGAGGAAAGATGAGCTATGAGGGCATTAGTCACTGAGGTTAGCCTTTGGAGAACTTTAGTGGGGAGTTTGATTGATGACAGCTAATCATATAAATTCCTAATATCCATTTCTTTGTCTTTTTCTCCTGGTCAGGGTTTTGGCTAATACTGTGTTCAAATAGATATTTAGTAATGACAATACTTGTATTAATGCAGATGATCATAGTTTTTGAAAGTTGTAATCTTATTCTTTAATAAATATTTTTTGCATTTAAGGGAGGAAAAGACTGAGCAATTGTTGGACTGTAAACAAGAACTTGAGCAAATGGAAATAGAACTAAAAAGGTTGCAACAAGAGGTTTGTACCTGGAACTTTTATTATATAGGACCACTAAGTAATTAGAAATTGACTTTTCTACTTATGATTTATAACCTTTATCTTAATGCTTTATGAGGTTACTGAGGCATAAAGAGATCTGATGACTTTTTCAGTGTTTCTCTCTTCAAAAATGCCAGAGCCAAAACTAGAAATCAAGGCCTTTGGACTTTTCTTTCTTCTGTATTGGTGCTATTCAAACTTTGCTAAGATTCAATGGAGCCTTTAGGACTGGGCCAATTCCAAGGTTCTCTTTTTTATCTATTTGGCTTCTGTGGGCTTGGAAGCTCTACTGTAAACTGTGCTGCTTATGTGTGTCTTCCTGCGTCTCCCCTCTCTGATGGTGCTTTATGTTAACTTATATATGACAGAATGCTTTTTAATTCTTCACTGTGTTCTTGTTAAATAAAATCAAAACCTTTTACGTTTTAAAAATTGTTTTTATTTTGCTAAAGCTTTATGTTTTTTCATCTTGAACCAAGATTAAGAAGTCACTTCTTTTAATCACTCTGTAATGTTTCATTTTCATTTGGAGGTAGTGCATGAGATCTTCTTTAACCCATAAATTGTAAGGATTGGGGTATGGCTGGACAATTGTTTCTTCCCATTACTTCCCCTAACCTGCCATTTTGAATTCAGGAAATGCTCCACTTGCAGGATCATAAACTGGGACCTTTCTAGATGAATGAGACTGGGAGTCATAATCTTTATTTCTAGATATGGCTATGGTTGCTATTTCTCTTCTTGGTAGCAGGACTTTTTGTGGACTTTTTGTATGTGTGCTCCTCTTAACACAGTGGTTCTCAGTCTTTTTGGTCTCAAGACTCTTTTCACTCTTTTCAACTCTTAAAAATTAATGAGGATTGTTTCATGTGGATTATATCTACTGGTATTTACTATATTAGAAGTTAAAACTAAGAATTTAAAAAATATTTATTAATTCATTTAAAAATAATACTCAACTCATTCCACGTTAACATAAAAATTATATTTTAACTAAATAACCATTATTTTCCAAAACAAAAAAAATTAGAAGATTGGTACTCTTTGACATTTTTGCAAATCTCTTTAATGCCTAGCTTAATTGAAGACTGCTGGATTCTCATATGTATTTCTGCATTCAGTCTGTTAAGATATCATATGCCGTGTAGCCTCTGGAAAACTCCACTCTCCTGAGAGAATGAGAGTGAAAAAGGAAATAATGTCTTAGTATTATTATGAAAATAGTTTTAACTTCATGAACTCCCTGAAAAGGTTTCAGGGAACCGCAGAAGTCCTTGGATCACACTTTGATAACTGCTTTTTTAAAAGATTACGATAAGGCTTTTAAAAGGTTGAATTTTAATATTTGTCTTAAATGACACTGATTATATGCACTAATCATTTTACTTGGAAGCATTAAAAAAATCTCAGCAGGATTTTAGTACGTTACAACATGTCTAGATAGAAACATTATTTCTCTAAAGTAACTAATGATCAACTTTAATAATACAGTTTGCCTCTTCTGTGCTTTTACTATCTTGTATTTTAAAGTTAACTTTTTCACCTTAAATTAATTGCAAATGATTATGTTAAGTAGAGATTAACTTATTTTAATATATCCTGAATAGTTTTTACATTTCTGATAGAGAACATTATATAAAAATTTGTATATAAACATAAGTTTGTATAGTTGTATATAAACATATGTTTAAAGTACTTTTTATTTTTGGTATTAAAAAAAAAGGCTTTATATCTCCCCATTTTAAAAATAAACTTAATTGAGTTATAGTTTGCCTACCATAAAATTCACACCTCTAAAAAAGTTCATTGTTTCTTTAGTAAATTCGTCAAATTGTACAACCAAGGATTATCAATTTTAAAATAGAAAATAATATTTAAAATATTAATATTTATTTATATTTAGAACATGAATTTGCTTTCGGATGCTCGTTCTGCAAGAATGTACCGAGATGAATTAGACGCACTTCGAGAAAAGGCAGTCAGAGTTGATAAACTTGAAAGTGAAGTCAGCAGATATAAAGAGAGGCTACATGATATTGAATTTTATAAGGCAAGAGTTGAGGTATGTGGTTATTTAAGTTATTCACAATTTTTTTCTTTAAAAGTGTTATGATTTTTCAAAATGCATTTAAAATGCACTTAATAAATGTAAGAGACTCTTGAAATACTGAGCAAACTGTAAATACCTTCAGGTGTTTATGATGGATCAAGATATTGCTTAGACTTTTAAAAAGGGGTTTTTGGTTATTAATTTTATCGAACTCTCTTCTTTCATTTCTTTATTTAGCATTATAGGTAGGGCAGACTTGAAGTCCTTGCCTCATAGTCAAAATAAAGTATCTCACGGGCCGGCCCTGTGGCTTGGTGGTTAAGTGCGCGCACTGCGATGCTGGTGGCCCGGGTTCGGATCCCGGGTGCGCATCGAGGCACCACTTCTCCGTTCATCCTGAGTCCGAGTCCCACATACAGCAACTAGAAGG